CAACATTTAATACCAAAGGAACGCGAACAGGTACCAAGTGTACAACCCTTTTTCGTTTGTTTTGTTCCCAATTGGCAGTTGGGCCCGCCGCCTTCAAAAAGGTATTTTTTGTGCATTTTTTCCATATTTTAGGTTTGGTTAACGCATTTTAGCTCCAAAGTCTCTCCATAGATTTTAATGAGCGATACCTTAAACGACGCCAAATTAACGCACCTATACACAAAAAATAGAGGACACAAGATATAATTTTTTTTTTGACTTTTCCTGAGTTTTTAAAGTCAAAATTTCGTAAAAAATACCGCACAAAAAACATCATTTTTGCATTTCAATGCTTTATATTTCCCAGACGGTAAGCTGTAATCACAAAGTGTTTGGGCTTAACTTCTACCTGTTTTAATTATCTTTTCAAAATAGCAAATAGCAAAGCAAAATACAACCAGACGTAAGATACTAAAGTTATGTGAAAAAAACTATCGCTACCTCTGAAAAAAGCTAAAAAAAAAAATACCAGACTTCAAAAATTCTTCAAAAAAAAGTTCTGCCATAGAAAAAAACCATAATTCTTTAAAAAATTTTAAATCCCCATATCTATCAGAAAAAGTCGGTTTGGATCCTTGAGGAAAAAAAAGTTCGATTTTGTCGAGTAGTGTAAGCAGAGTCCATTTTTCGTAAAATATAGTACGACCTCGTCTTTTACGGTTCGGGCTTGTTTTGTATCTAAAAAGCTATTGAGTAGCGGGCCAACTTTCAGGAATTAAAATTTACCCTTCGCGGAAAATATTTGCGCCAGATTTGTAACTTCCACACTTTCTTCATTTGGAACGTAATGGGGCGTTTCATCCGATTCAATCTCGTCTTGCATGGCCGTAGTTCCCCGACCTGTGCCTTGTTGAGTGCACAATACCGCACAGCTTGCTTTTAGCTTGTGTCTCAGACAGTATTACAAAAAAACTTTTGGCTTCAGGTTTCCTTAAACCTTTTTTCCTTGCGGATTCCCTTGGATGCCTATTTAGGCGTGTTAAAATTTTTGTATCTATCACATCCTGGCAACGTTTACATTCCACATGGAAATCGTTTAGCCGATTGAATTTATCCCACGCGACTGCAATGTCGGAAAATATCTCCGGATGACATGAATGCATATGGCTTTTAAACATATCACTTTTGTTTGGCAGTATATGAACAGTACCTGCAGTTTGCGATTTTAAGTTCCGGATGTTCAATGAAGTGCTCCCACACTGGATGACGACGACGGCTGTCAGTGCTGGCGACGTTGTCCATCTCCTCATCTTCGCTGTCCTCATCTTCCATGTCCTCAGCGGTACTGTTCGTTGCGGGATACTTGTTGGTAGTGCTGGCGACATTGTCTATGTCCTCATCTTCGATGGTCAAGGCATTGCTGGCAGTATCAACGGCACTGTTCGTCGCGGGATGCTTGTTAGGACTATCAACGGCACTCGCGCAGTATCGTCTTGAAACTGCTGCTCTGGGTACGATTTTCCAGATTGTTATTATTCAAGTGTATGTTTTACTTCATCACCGCTTGGTTGTGCACTAATATCCGGCTCTACTATCATGGCCCGGCATGCAGCACCGCCGTTCGAACAAAACTTTTTGCAGTATGTCTGCACCGCGGGAAAAGTTAGTTAAATTGTCTTGTAGCTTCATGACAATGGGCGCGCTCATGGGTAAACGCACATGATTTAGTGTTTTTGATGCAAGAATTCCTGGATCAATTTTTGAGAAATGGATCGTGAAAATAATACGATCCATTAGTCTCGTCACTTACCATTCGGCTCATGACGTGACAAGAGCCGACTGAAAGCAACCATGTAGTTGTGTACGTGGAACACTCCAAAATATATGATTGTATGCATATAATAATTTTGAGCTGCCCAAACCGATTTTGCTTGAGATTTCAGAAATTACGGAAATGTGTGTGTGCCTATTCTCACATACTGTGCTTGTTTGGGTTCTACAATTTTTGTCCGCTTGAACCGAAATGGTTTTTCGTTTTGTTTTCAGGGTGGCCAGCCAGGGGATGTAGCGACCTGAGCTGACCTGCCGCAACATATATGTATGTATGTATGTATGAGGAATGGGCAGAGTGGGTGGGGATGGGAAATAAATACAGTATATAAAATAAAAGATGCTAATTGTTTGATTGATTTGAATCAGCGAGTAATTAAATTATTTCGTTTCATATCAGCCAGCTTTTGTCAGCGAGCAATTAAGTTTTTTATATCAGTCAGCTATTGTCAATGAGCACATTTTTTTGTTTTTTTTTTCTTAATTTTTATTACATATTTACATTTATTTTAACATTTTGGACAAACCCATTGTCGGACAAAGTATATCGGTATATATTAATGTGCTTTTCAAAATAACCGCTCAACTTTTTAGCGCACAAGAAATACTTACATTTTTCCCTCTCGATTCGTTTTTTTTTTTTGTAATTTGCTCTCTGTTAAGTGGTGAAGGTGGTGAAGGTGGTGACTTACCCCTCATTTTCGTGGTGTGAGCGCATGTTCCTAACGGAACCGTAGCAGCAATGAGTCTAATTCACCGTGTGAATATTAGGATATGATTTTAAAAATTATTAATGGATATTTTTGTGGTACTCTGCGGAGTTTTGAAGTAAAATATTCGGCAATATTTTGTTGTTTTATGGTCGCGCGAACATTTGTTTGGGTCTGGCGTGGATTTATATGGACAAATGAATCAGACTCTCAAGAGAAATATAAATGTGCGATTCTTTAATTTAACAAGATCCCACTTCAATACCTAACTTTCTCTGATCACAACGCTAGAATGGGCTTAGTTTGGCTACTTTTTTAACCAAACAATTGTATATCAAATACATGTAATACTTAAGCAAGTAGTAGCTTAAAAGAATAGTAAAAATAGTCCGTGGAGGGAGGAAATTCTCCGAATCTCTCCAGCTTGTAGCTGTTGACATTCTTCAGGCTAAAAGTAACCTATCTAGCGCCAATTTTTGACGCACGCGACATTTTTCGACAGGTTGTCTGCTCAATTAATTAGCTTGAAATTAAAATAATTCCCTTTTACCAATAAATACTGAAACTGTACCAAATTTCAACAATTTTTCATTGGTTAGTGCTGATGGAACGTTGATTCATTGTTGCGAAGTTCCCGTAAGATACATTTGATTTGATTGATTGATTAACGAAATTTGCAGCTCACGGGTACCAATAATAGGAATCAGAACCGGGATAAATGTATTTATAAAACACAAAACATATGCATTAATAGGTAAAAAACATATCAATCTAGAATAAAATCATTATTAATGTTTCAATGTAGCTTTGAACATCAAATTTAACATTAATTAAAGGAAATAGGGTATACAAATGTCCATACGCATGCAGAAACTTGGTTGACCATCAACAATGACGGAATGTGACCGGAGTTCACACTTATGTTTTAAGCTTTGGCCGGTTTTGTTTGAAACGTTTTGTTAACAATCCAATAAAAAGGAGTTCTGAAAACTACCCAATCTTGTAAAATTGAGGAATTAAATTAATAAAATTATTTGTTTAGGTCTGAGTGGGCTAATTAGCTAGTAATATTAAACCGAATATCAAAATCGAGGAATATGAAAGCACTTGACGTGTCCGTCAGTATATTTACGGTATATTTTGATTATGAAAAGGTATATTTGGGTATATTTCTGAGGTCAGGTGAAATTTTTTTTTCGGTCCGCGGTCACACTGAAACACAGCGTGGCTTGACTAGAAATTTTCGCTAAAATTTATTAAATTTTTGCAACAGCACTGCACTTTCGCAATATGTCAGCACTAAATCTAACTGTTCGCGTCCATCCCGTGGTGCTCTTCCAGGTGGTGGATGCCTACGAGCGCCGCAATGCGGAGTCACACCGCGTCATCGGCACTCTGCTGGGATCGGTGGAAAAGGGTGTCGTCGAGGTGACCAACTGCTTCTGTGTGCCGCACAAGGAACACGACGACCAGGTGGAGGCGGAGCTGAGTTATGCCCTGGACATGTACGACCTGAACAAGAAGGTGAACTCCAACGAGTTCGTTATCGGCTGGTGGGCCACCGGCAATGATGTGACGAACCACAGCTCCGTCATTCATGAGTACTACGCCCGAGAGTGCAACAACCCGGTCCATCTCACAGTGGACACATCCCTGCAGGGCGGACGCATGGGCCTGCGGTCCTATGTGTGCATCCAGTTGGGCGTGCCCGGCGGAAAAACCGGCTGCATGTTCACACCCATTCCCGTGGAGTTGACCAGTTACGAGCCGGAGACCTTTGGTTTGAAGCTGCTGCAGAAGACGGTGGGCGTTGCCCCCGCCAACCGTCCAAAGACAGTGCCGCCCATGCTGGATCTGGCCCAAATTTCTGAAGCCTCCACGAAGCTGCAATCCCTGCTAGACCTCATCCTGAAGTACGTCGACGATGTTATTGCCCACAAGGTGACGCCGGACAACGCTGTCGGCCGCCAACTGCTCGACCTCATTCACTCCGTGCCGCACATGAGCCACGAGCAGTTCACCCAAATGTTCAACGCCAATGTGCGCAACCTTCTGATGGTCATCACGCTCTCCCAGCTTATCAAGACGCAGCTGCAGCTCAACGAGAAGTTGACGTTCCTGCCCACAGCCTAGGGCGGTCGACACCTGAGGGTGGCCTGACGTTTCTTTTTAAGTCGAAAGCAGTGTAACAACAAAGTGTATTGGATTATGTTTTTCTTTTTGATATATGTATCTAAGTAATAAAGTGCTCGGATCGCCCACAAACAAGCTTTTGAAGGCGAACAGCAACGCAATCGATTGACGTAGCTGTTCAGCTTCTTCATCGACTACATAGGCGGACATTTAGCGAAGTCCGCCTGGGGATTAGTCAGATCCAGCCTAAAGACCCTCTCGAGGGTGGTGCACTTGCTTTCAGTTACAGCTCCGTCCCCGTGGGAATCATTTGGGTCTTCGAGAAATGAATTGGAATCAGATTCGGAATTTAGTAGGCTGCTGTCACTACTGAATCTGTATCCTAGTCACCCCAGTAATGGTCGGACACAATAACCCAAAGGAAAAAAGTAGTATGGAGGACGCTGAAGCAGCGTCCAGCAGCATGGAACAGAATGGTGACAAGGATGGATCTGAATCGAGTGCTAAGTCTGTTGAAGACTTAGATGTTCGATCAAGTGATGAGGAAAACATTCCAAACAATCGGGATGAGGAGGAACTTCAGTCTGTTCCAACAATCCTTGAACGTAAGACCAGCCCCAAGACAAAGTTGGCCACATTTGTGCCAACGTACGAAGCGACGCAGGACATGTGGTCGAGTCACCGATTTCCTGTGCGCGAAAGCTTAGCCCAATCGCTGATGCACTCCATCGAGAAAAAAAAAGTCACATCCGATTTGGTGGTGGTGGTGGAAGATAAGCGATTCGAGTGCCACCGAATGTTCCTGGAGGCTATTAGTAAGTTTTTCCGCGAATTGGAGCCCAGGGAGGAGTACCACCTCTCCCCGCATGTGATCAGCGCCCATGACTTTGGTATCCTCTATCACTGGCCCTTCGATGGGAAGGACAAGGACAAGGACTACATCGGGCTTTCCTCGTTGCTGAATATCGTAAAGGCTGCCGAGTTCTTTGGCTGCGAATATCTCCTCCACAAGTGCTGGGGGATGCTCGAGATCGTCACAAGCGACAGTTTCAATGTCATGGTTCTCTGCGGCTGCTCTAACGACAGCGTCACACTCAATAGCAGCTCAATCAACAAGATTCTGATAGCCCGCATGGCTGAGGGCTTTCTGCAGTTTGTCGCCAGCTCCGAGTTCGTCAGCCTCCAGCCTCCTGAAGTGCGAAGTCTGTTCAAGAACGGTTATCTGTGGGTTAATTCAGAGTTGGAGGTGCGTACAGGGGTCTCCAGGAGAGGCTGCTGCTGCAAGCCCCATAATCAATACAGTGCAACCCCCTCTCCACAGGTTCTGATGGCGGCCATCGTTTGGCTAAATCACAATTGGCCGCAGCGCGCAAGGTACATCGGGTTCGTTGTGGAGGTGATTCGCTTCCATGAGATCCCATTGCACTCCCTGATAACCTTCGCCAAGCGATGCGACGGTCCACCGGCATTGCGCGCAGTGGCGCAATCCGAAGATTTTAAGAAACTCGAGCGGATGGCCCTCATTGTGCTGTAAGTGGCGCAGTGCATACGCGGAATCATAAACTGAAAATACATTTTAAAAAAATTGCAGCCAAAAATCGCCACAGCAATGGCAGGGGCGCACGGGAATTGCTCGCAAGTGGATATACGATCAAAAGGCCGGATACCACCACCGTCTCACGTGCGTGAATCAAAAGTTCTGGGGATACAATATGTTTGCGGACTACCTGATCTTCCTGCAGACGGCGGGAATATCGCACTGCTCGACGCTGCTGCCTTGCGATGATCCCAGCATCGTTTGCTGTCCGCCCCGAGTATTAAATTCATCTGAATCCGAGTTCTAGTTGTGTTGTACGTTGTCGAAATATCCACACAACCCCACCACACCAGACAATGAATACTAAAATTGGAAAGAGTTTGTGCTGTAGCAGGAGAAGACATCGAGCCAGTTCCACAGGTGAAAATTAAACACAATGGACAGATTGGACAGTTTGTTCTTTTAAATACTTTATTATAAAACTACGCGAAATTCAAAATGTTCTTTTTATACAGAAAAACGATTCATATGGGCATAGTACTCGTAGTACTCGTAGTATCATGCCAATCTGTTTTAAAAGTTAATCATAAAATTCAGAAAGTGTGTAGAATATCGATGCTTTTGATTTATATGCTTAATTACAATAAATAAGAATAACGACATTTAGAAATTAAATTGTTCCTTCTTATATGCACATCTCATGTATGTAGTATGTATGTATATGTACGTATGCATATAATATTATGTACTTATGTATGTCAGTGTGTTGCGTGTGTGTGTAAGGGTATTTTGTTTATAATTTTAGGTACATTGGATACGTCGTTAGGTATGCTATGAGGGCTGGGGCATGAGGCATTGGGGCGTGTGGGATAGATGGTACACAGAAATATGAAAAGATACACAAATATGCAGAATTTGTTGGGAAGTTAATGTACAATTTAGTTTTGTTTCTATGTAGGGGGGGCTATATAAGCAATATACAATTTCAAAAATTTTTAACAACGTTCATAGAACTTATTTTTTTGTTTTCTTCGTTTTTTTTTTCATAATTTTCAACACACAATAAATCTTATACGTATGCTTTCGAAATTTGACTTTGACTTTGCGTAAAACATTAGAGAGCTTGGCTTTTCTTTTTCAAACATACATATGTATATGTATATATGCATGTATGTATGTACTATAATATATGTATGTAAGTAAGTATGTACGTACGTACGTATAGAATATCGTATATAAAACGTTAAAATCTGAATCAAAAAGCAATGCAAAGACATTCAAAAAATTTCGTACTTATTTATGGATGCAATTAACATTATTCTGAAACATTTTTGTATTCTGTATTTGACTTTGTTCTCAACATGAACATACGAATTAGGTCATTAGGTTCCTAGTAATAGTACAACAACAACAACAACAATCAATGTTGCAATAGCAACAAGAACAAGAACAACAATCATTCTATAGTCCAGGCAGGACCCTTCCCACTCCATTCCCCTTTACGCCCTGAGACGTGGCGGCCTAAACGCAGCTAAACTTAATGCCGTCGTCGCTGGAGTAACAGTTCTGGCAGTGGAGCTTGTGGTTGCGCACTCGCACATCCGTCCCATTGAGTCCGTCGCCCAGCTGGACGTGGCAGACGCAGCACTTGAAGCAGTTGATGTGATAGAACAGCAGCAGCGATTCAATGATCATGGCAGCCCCGCGACCTACCAGGAATCAATCAATCAGAAAAATCAGTCATTAGTACGGGCTTCCAAATAAAATCTTCTTTTCACTTTTCACTGAAAATTGATATTGATACTACCTTAATCTTAGTTAGTTAGTTTTAGCTTAGTCGTATATTAGTCTTTCGTTAATTGTAGTTGTTATCGATTATGAGATATCAGTTGGATTGAATCAGACCCATACAATATATTTGAGCGCTTTGTGCACTTGGCGACAATTGTCGTGGGTGCAGCCCAGATCTGCGACAGACATGTAAGCGCAAATAGATAGAAGAATAGATACATATATGTAGATAGAGGTGGGGAGATAGAGACAGAGAAAGCTCCTTCCATGCCTGAGCCCAGCTACTCGTATGAGGCTAGTGAGTGTGTGAGTGTGTGGCTTGTGATGCTCGCTGTGACAAGCCTAGAGGATGTGGCCAAGAGTGAATGAAGAGCAGGAGTTGGGATATAGATAGAACCACAACACTCACAACCAACGTAGTAGCAAAGTTTACCTAATTCGTCGCCGCAATGAGAGCACTTCTTCTTTCCACTGACGCTGAGCACCTTCTCCTGGCTGCCGTTGTTGCCGTTGCTGTTGCTGTTGTTCGTGTTGCTCGTGCTGGTGATGATGGACTGCTTCTGCTGTTGCTGCTGGTAGCCATTGGTATTGCCATTGACTTGGCTATAATTGCCATTGCCATCGAATCTATGGGGGAGATAAATGCGTTTAGAAAACAAAAACTAAAGGACTTTAATCCACAGGGAGTCCACGAACCGCTTGCGTTCTCCAATGCCCTTGCTCTGCACCCGCTCCGTCAACGTTTGGATGATGGAGTCGGGCAGGGGCTTGCCATTCGATTTGTTGCCAGGCATCGATCTCCTGTTCAGCTGCTCGATGCGTCGCTGTTCCGCTTCCTGGAGCAGCCAATGGTTGTTGTTATAGATGGCCCCGCCATTGTAGTCGGGCATGGACTTGCGCTTCTGCTGCTGTGCGGACAGCCAGGCCGGATCGTTGGCCAGGTTGCTGTCGTAGCTCTTGCGCTGCTGCACTTGCACCCACCCATCGGTGTACTTGGGCTTGGGTGTGGCACTCAGGGCGAGGAGTGTGTTCCTCGACATGTTGCTCAAATTCTGGGCGGACTGATGATGGTAGGCAGCGGCCGCTGAGGCTGTGACGGCAGTGGCTGTGGGATAGCTGGCGCCAGAGTGGCGTGGCGCCATTGGGGCACCGGCAATCTTCACCAGCGAGCCGCCATAAGCATTGGCGGAGCTCTGGCGCTGCCGCGTGCTCACCGCATAGTCCGGCTCCAGGCCATGTCCGTTGGTTATGTGCATGGCACGCAGTGGTTTCGTGGGCGGCGTCGGTGGCGCCAGCATCAGCCGGCTGGAGAACTCGTTCAGGTCAGACATGGACTTGCGGTAGTCAGTGTCCATCTGCTGGTACGCATACATCGCCGCCGCCTGCTGCTGTTGTTGCTGCTGTTGCTGCTGCTGCTGCTGCTGCTGCTGTTGTGGCACATTGGCGTAGATCTGCTGGGGATGCGGTTGATGTGGATGCAACTGCTGTTGGTGCTGTGGCGGCTGGAAAGCACTCAGCATGCCGTTGCCGATGCCCAGGCCATGGTGCAGGTCCTGGAGCGAGCGACGGTTGTTGGACATCAGCATCTTGGCCCCGTGCTGCAGCTCCCGCCGGGCTATATTCTCGCGCAGCAAAAGGTTCTCCCGCTGTCGCTTTAGTTCCTCCTGCTGGAAATGGTTACGTTTTAGTATCCCATTGAATCCTTCCTGTTCCCCTTACTCACCGAAAAGTGCAATAGTTCCCGCTCCACCCGCAGCACTTCCCCCTGCTCGCGTATCTTCTCCTCGATGGACTGCATCTTGGCATTGGCCGTCGCCGTGGCTTCGCTCAGCGATTGTGTGGCCGCTGCCGCCGCCGTTGCCGATTCTGTCCAGGACTCGGCCGAGTTGCCCTTCACCGTCTGCAGTAGTGGCGTCTGGGCCGCCAGGAGGGTCTCATTCTGGTAGATAATCTCGCCGCCCAGTCCCGACACGGGTGGAGGCGGCAGCGGCGGCGGCGTCGCCTCCGACTGGGTGTCATTCTCCTCCGAGGAGTTGGTGTAGTGCTCGCTGCTCTGGCGGGAATGATTCTCCGACACCCCAGAGTCGCGGCTCTCTCCTGGGAATGGCAAGAGGAGAGAGTTGCGTGGTTAGCTCTCTCTGTTTGGGAGGCACATCCCACCCACTGCCCACCATTTGGCAGCAACTAAACGGATTATTTATACTTAACCTCAGCGGGGCAGACCACACTGCACACTGCAGACTGCAGCCCCCAGGCAGAGTGCACACCATTCTGTGTCCCATCCCCCATTCGTCGTTTGTTCTCTTGCCCTATTGGCTCTCCGCCCCATTAGTTTTCCCCACTTACGCCCCAGACTCTCTTCTCTTGTCTGTCTTTCTCACCTGTATCGGAACTATCACAGAGTCCCGCCTTGATGTACAGCTGCTTCTCGAGGCGTCGCTCCTCCTGCAGGAGCTGCGCCATGTCCGGCGGCGGGGCCACAGTCAGCTCCAGGTAGCTCTCCACATCGTCCAGATCTCCGTCCGTCTCGATGCCCAGGAAGCTGGATCGCTTGTTGCGCAGCTCCTTCTTGATTCGCTTCGTGGAGTTCATGCGTTTGATCGGCGGCGAGGGCTGGGCCGGCTCCAGCTGCGACGACTGCATATGACGGCGCGTCCCGTTCGAGATGGTCTCGTAGGTGTTGTCCGACGACCAGGTGTCCGTGTTGTGGCCCAGACTGCTGCACAGGCCATCCAGCTCGTCGTCGTGGCCCAGCGAGGCGTCGTCCACGGGCACTGGCGGCGGACTCTCGGTGGGTGGCGGCGGTGGCTTCTCCTTGGGCGGCTCCATAGATGCCATCGGCATGGCCCCCGAGCTCTGGCTGAGCTCCAGGCCCGTGTAGAAGATGTCGATGTTCTCGTACACCGGAATGGGACGCAGATGTTTGGGGGCATCGTAGTAGGGCTCCGTTGCCTTCGGCACTTGATAGTAGGGCTCTGGATCGGATGATAGGGCTGCTGCTGTTCCGCCGATACCGATGCCGATGCCGGTGCTGTTCTGGTTTTGATTGCTGTTGCTGTTGTTGCTGCTGCTGTTTTGATTAGTATTTTGATTATTCTCGTTATTGTTACTGTTGCTGTGGCTGTTGCTCATTTGTTTATTTGGAATGCTTCTCCTGTGACTCCTCCGCGTCGAGGCTTGTGTGCCCTGCTGTATCTGTGTCTCTATCGGTGTCTGTGTCTGTATCTGTGTCTGTATCTGTATCTGTGTGGATTTCGTCATCGTTGCTATCTGTTCATTATCTACTTCGTGCATAGATATAGTCGAGCTGACATTCTCGTAGATGGGCTCCCGTTCTCCCCGCTCTTCCTTCCTCTTCTGCTCATCGGTTTTATTTGGCATCTCTGTCGTGGTCTGTGTCTCCTGCTCCTCCTCCTCCTCCTCCTCGTCGTCGGCTTCCTCCTTTGGATCGATCTCCTCCTGCTGCTGCTGCGGCTCTTCCACCTCTTGCTCTAACTGCTCCTCACGCTCCTGCTGTTGTTGGGGCTTTTCCATTTTCCTGCTGCTGGTAGTGCTGGTGGTGGTGGTGGTGGTGATGGCCTCTCGATCGATTGCTTCCAGCGCCAATTCAAGAGCTTCGTTGATCTGTGGATATGGGATGAGGCGGGCATGTGTGCGGGCGGTTTGTTGGTTGGTTGGTTGGTTGGTTGGTGGCATGACCAGCGAGCGAGCGAGCGAGAAAGCATCAAAAGCGTGCATGATAGAGAGAGAAGAAAGAGAGAGAAATGCGCATGGACCGCATGAATTTTTAAGTTAGTTTTTACACACAAATGCTGGCTTTGCAGATTAAATACAAATTAATTAACAAATTAAATTGGCAAACTAAATTAAATAAATAACAAAAATCAATGAAACACAATAACATAATGCAATTTGAATGCACTTTCATCGGGCGCATGTCAGATGTCAGTCGACGAGTCGCAGCGCCCCCAATAAGAGTGCCAAAGTGGGTTCTCAAGGGATTTAATTGTTTGCACTTAATTATTCGGCTGCAATACTGGTACGTATTTGCAAGTAGATAACCGAATGAATCCAGGCAAATGGAACACTCGAGTGGGGTAGGAGGTACAAGTACATACGGGTAGTATGTGCAACTACTAGACCAGGGTATCTCCTTCCAAGAAAGAGAGCCAGATAAGTTAAGCTAATCCCTCAATTACCTATTGCGGAAATTCTAGTAGATTGCAATCTATCGGAACTCCAGAAATTATGTAGTACTCAAGGTTGAAGATTAAAGATACGGATTCACAGATTTAGTCTCTAATTGAAGGATAACTATAGATGATTTATCGTTTTCGCTTTTTGTTCAAAACTATTTCCACTCGTTCGGGATTCCTTCGTTTAGGTTGGGTTTATTTTTCCACCGATTTCTCACGTGCCCTTTGGCTTGGCTTTCAGTTCCGAGAAATCAATATCATTTGAAGGGGAAGGGAACAAACACTTGAGCAAACACGCAAATTCTTCAAGCAACTGGGGAACTGAGGAGCTGGGCGTCGCTTACCACTGCTTTACGATCCGAACCGTCTAACGTCTAACGAACTGTGGCGCTGAAATCGATTGGTTGGTATTTATGTAGAATAATTGGGCATGCAGGAAGATGACCGACCGTACATCCCCGTATCGTATGCGAAATTTTAGCACGATTATAAATAGCTGTTATGATGGGACGTCATAAAGATATCATGAGACTATCGCTGGATCTATATTATATTCGTATGCAATACGTACACAAGCACATATGTACAGTGGATGGCCCGAAACGAACCCCAACTGTTGAGGGCTTAATGAAGACTAAACATGAGCGGGGCAACCATCGACTGAACGAGCGATTCATTTAGATAAAGAAATGGTGGAAAAACTATATATACGAGTGTATGGGGCGACAAAGCTGCAGAAAGTGGGGTCGTGTGAGGGTGAGGGGGTGGCTGGTTTATGCGCCCCAAAGTATACCTTGTTGAACTGAAACCCCACGCGGCGATGGGGGTCTTCTGACATTTGGCATTTTAAGGAGGTGATAAAATATGTATGTAAAACGCAACATGCAACAATTTCAAGCAGAGACAAACGGAAAGTCTAGAAAGAAGGAGACAGGCAACACAAAAGAGGGAGACAAGCAAACAAACAGAAAGAGACGACAAACGAAAGAGACAACAACAGAACAGAACAACACAAGAACACAACAACACAACAGAGAGGAGATAGAGAAGAACGCCGCTTACCTCGGAAATTGTAAACTTGCAATATCTTTTGCTGGCAGTAAGCATGTAAACTATGTAACTGCATTAAATTAAATATGAGCCACACATCGTTTACATTGTTAATTTAGCCAACAAACGAGCGCAAGGCATGTAATAGAGAAATGACAATGAATGGATCAAATACTCGTCGTAGCATATACATACGTATATATTTATGTATATATATATATATTTATGTAGATAAAGCCTTAAAAATATAGCCTCAACCTCTGGCAAACGGATACAAAGTGTGAGATATGGAGGATATGGTTGGTGTGGAGGGGGTGGGGGGTTTAGGATCTTGTTCGGTTCTTGTTCTTCTTTTTTTACCTTGGGCAGGCAGCCGCTCCCTCTAGCGTCGAGCGGCTGAACCACGCGCAGCTTGCATTGTATACATATGTCAAGTAGCAAAGCGTATATTTACATGAAGCGTGTAGAACTACATACATATGTTCGCAGTTTGATTTCGATTTGTTTAGTTTATTCATAAATATTCATATTCATAAAATTATTCATAAAAACATATGTTTCACATTTCTTTACATAAAATCAAATTTCGTTTCTTCTTTTTTTACATAAAAGTGGGGTTTTAGTAATATCGTATTTGTATTGTATTGTATATATTGTATGTGTGTGTGTGTGTGTGGATAGATGTTGTGTATAGAGAAGGAAAACTGTAGCTGTGTAGCTGTGTAGCTTGAGCCCATAACAAAAGGTAGAAAACAGACAAAAGGAAATCCGAGAATAAACCCAAATAAATAAATTATATATATTTTAATTTGTGTTAGAAGTAAATTCGATTGAAAATTTCATTCGTTGATTTTGTTTTGGTTTTAAAATGTTCAAAAATAGTCATCAGAGAGGGGTCGAAGAGAGCTTTAAGTTCTGAAGAGCTTCACTCATTATGGAGAGAGAGAATCATTATATCACGCTGATCTATGGATAGGAGGAAACCTACTGAAACCCCTCTGCTCTTGCAGATCTGTGTGTGAAGGGGAAACCTGTTGAATAGCACTTTGGGGATAGTCTAAGCTCTCTGATCTTCCAGATCCGACATTATTTGTTCGTTATGGTGCTGGCGGCAGCTGCCTCCAATTTCATAATCTCATCATCCAGCAAATCGCTGATCTCCTGGGTCAGTGCCTTCTCCGTGGTGTTCTCCTCGAGTATCTCATCCGTGGTGATCGTCTTGCGGATCTCAATGTTCACGGGCGCCGGAGTCTTGGGCAGTGGCGGAGGGCCGTCGGCACCAGCCGCCTCTTCACTCACGTTCGGGACATAGAACTTTGAGTTCTGCACCTGCACGAATCCCTCCGGGGTGACCACATCAACGCCACTGCGAGTGCTGGTGAGGACCACCTTCTTCTCGAGCGTTTCGTTCAGAGTGGGATGATGATCTTTCTGGGCTGCCGCCTCCTCGTGGCTCCCGAAGTTCCGTCGCAGAAAGTCAAAGATATTCTTGGTTTTCTTCTCCTTGACGGCCACTGGCGGTGCCGTCTGCTGTGGCTTGGGGGAGCTGGGTGGAGTTACCTCCTTCACTTTGATCTCCGTCTCTACCAGGTGAGTGCGCGCTATCAGGGGTTGCTCTGGAACCGCAGTCGGCGCTGGAGACGAGGCCGGGGCATAGCCCGCTCGACTGATCGAGTCCGTGCCAGAGGCAGATATGCAACAGGGCTTGGGTATGGGTATCTTCGACTTTCTGCCCAGAAGCGGCGTCGACGGGGTGCCCGGGGAGGGGGCTGCCTCGGGCAGCGAGGACCTCATCATCTGACTGCTGGCCAGCCGCTCTTCGGCGATGATCTGCTCGCAGGTGTCCATCAGAGCCTTGGAGTGGGCCGCCCTGGCAGTGCCAATGGGGGAGCTGGGCTTGATTATGGGCAGCCTTCCGGCAGCGCCATCGCAACGCTTCACATCAGCGTCGTTAATGTCCTGGAAGCCCGTGGCCGGCACTGGCGACTTCTTCACATCGATGCTGTCGCAGAGGGGCTCCTGGGCAGGGGCCAAGCAGTCGAGGAGACCCGCACACAGGGCGATGTCCTCTTCGCTGGGCTTCTCATCCAACTGCTGGACTTTCTCCTGCCTGTAGCCATCGCAGCGCCTCACCAGATCCTCGCTGACACTCTGATAGCCAGTGGAGGGCCGTGGCGCCTTGGCCACATCAATCTTATCACAGGGCAACTCCTCAATGCTCAACGCCACCTGCTCGAGGTGCTGGCGATCTTCTGCGGACAGCTGGAGATCTTTGGGTGCTTCTCTGTCGAGGAACTGCTGGCACAGAGCCATCTCCACGGATGGCGAAGTGGGCCGGGACGAGGCCAGCTTAAAGAGGCTCGACTCGTTGGGCGAGCAGACCTTCAGGGCCGGCATCTCACAGGGCGAGGAGGTGTGCAGCAGCAGGGAATCATTGGGTGCCAGAGGATCAACTCTCCCTGCGGAAGGGGGCAGAGTGGGCGCTTGGAATACTTTGCTCGGCGGCGAGTGCACAATCGCCCTGGTCTGTCCCACCACTGGGGCATAGTCTCCGGAGCTGCGATCCACCACATCCAGCGAGGGCAGCTCCATGTGCAGCCTTTTGTTGGGCTTGGGCGAAGCCGGAGGCGTCGTGATCTGTGGTATGCGACTCCTGGGCAGAGGCCTGGGCGATGAGGGGACCGGTACCGGTACCGGCACCACCACATCGCTCGTCTGGCTAAAGCAGTTCGAGAGAGCCTTCACGGTGTTGGGCTTGGGCAGCTCTTCGGGATGAACGATAGTCACCGGAGGTGCACACATCACCACCTCTGGTGGGGGCACCGTCACAGGCGGTGGCTGCTGCTGCTGCTGCAGTTGCTCGACTCTGATGTTCCGCCTTGGGGGTGGCGGAGGCGTCGGTGGCTTCTCCAATTGCCTTGAATTGAATATCTCCACACGACCATTGATGCTAAACTGCTGGGGAGTGCTCGCCGCCGCCGTGGGGCTCATGGGGGAAGCTAAGGGACTGTTCTGTGGCCTCGCACTCGTGGCAATCCTCACCGCCTTGGGCGACATGGGGGGTTTGCCCATGGGACGTGGTATTTGCGTGGGACTTGGTGGGGTTGGGTGCACTGGTGGTTGGGTCTGTTGGATCGGTTCAATGGGGCTTGGAGTGGGCCTGGTAAAGTCAAAGATCTGGGTAAACTGACCAGGAGAGGTGGTGGCCATCGGTTCGGCGACCTCTTTCAGGTCCTCGTCATTTTGAAAGGTTTCCTTGAACATTTTAAGCAAATTGCGATGATGGACCATTTCATTCGAGGGCTTTCTACGCAAGTTACAATTGGCGGAGGAGGGTGAGGGATTCGGATTTGGATTTGGAGTGGGATTGTGGCTTGGGCCAGGTTTGGACACCGACACCGACACCGCTGAAGCAGCTACTACATCAACATCACAAGGACTTATCTTAGCGGAATCGATAAAACTGTTAGTAGAACTTACACTAAATTCCATGTCCCGCAATGGAGGAGCAGCCGCTTGAGTTGGAGCTGCAGATGGGGCAGCAGACGGTGCTGGAGCAGCAGATGACGACTGTGCCTGTGCCTGTGCTTGTGCCTGTGCCTGTTGCTGCGGCAATGGCGATGGATTCAGATCGGTGAGCTCATCGAACTCCGCTTCGATTTGGTTGACCGCATTGGCAGCCTCCTCCAGCTGTCGTTCCTCGATGGCCAAGGCGGCAATGGCCGCGTTCAGTTGGAGCTGCTGCTGCTGCAGTTCCTCGCTGGTGTCCTCCTGAATGCCGCTGTCATCGTTGGTGGCTGTGCCTGTGCCCGTGGGTGTGGCTGGGGGCTCCTCCACGATGAGTGCTGGCGGAGGAGGAGCAGCGACTGGGGTCTGTTGTTGCTTCGGCTTCGACTTCTGGTGTGGCTGCTGCTGCTGCTGCTGTTGTTGTCGCATGCGCTCCTCCTCGCCCCGCATTATCTCCAGCTGGCGGGCATCTATGAGGGCCACCAGCGGTGGCTTCTTCTGCTGATCCTCTTTGGTAACGGACTGCTGGAGGCTGTTCAGGCGCTGCTTGAGCGGCGGCACAGGCACATCCACACTCTTGCTGTGGTTGAAGGCGTTCCGCTGCTGCTCCAGGCTCTGCATCCGATCCCGGATGCTCGAAATGTCGCCGGAGAGTCGCTTTATCTCCTGTTTGGCCTGCGGCTTCGAGCCGTTCGAGGCTCCACCGTTGCCGTTCGTAAGGCGATCGCGCAGCACCACCTTGGGGGCGACGGGTGGGGCTCCGGCTCCGGCACCATTGGTGGCTCCCGACTTGGCCTGCTCGAACATCTCCTTGCGCTTCGATATGTCCACCTTGGGCACATCCACCTTCTGCTTCTCCACACCCTCCTGGGTGTCGCTGGGCGAGGTCACCTCGAAGCCGCTCAGCCGATCCTCGATCTTTGATCCCCGTCGCGTCGGATAGGCAATCGTCTCTCCATTCGAGGACGGGGATGAGCTCATCTTTCCGTTGGCATTGGCATTGGCATTCCCATTGCCACTGCCATTGCCATTGCCGTTGCTGCTGGCCCGTTGGACACGCTGCTTATAGTCCTGAATCGCCCCCTCGTACGTGTACTCGCACGGATCCGGCGAACTGGCCGGCGCCGTGCTCGAGGATGTGTCGTAGCCGGGCGAGGAGATGTACTCCCGCATGGCCCCCGCACTGGCCGCCTTCGATGTGGTGGGCTGGCAGCTGGCTCCGTTGTTTCCATTGCTGCCATTGCGGTTGATATGATTCTGTTGCTCCTCGACGCTTCCTCCAGAGGCACAGGCAGCGTCCGCGCCAGCCCCAGAGCCAGAGCCTGCTCCTCCAATGGCCCTGTCCAGCTCGGCGGCATTGTCGCTCTACGGAAGGGAAGAAAGAGAATACATTAATATAAAGAGAATAATGTTCAGAAATTGGTGGATGGGAATAAGATGGACAAAGGATCTGAACGATCAGCGGTTGTTGGTAGTTAGTTCTTCGAATCCTAAAGTATTTAAACCCCATTAAACCCTTTTCCTAGGAAACAGATTCAACAGTATTTTCTTCCATTTTTGTTTTGTACGAGCATCTGGATTCCATTATCTACTGTCCGGAGATCCCTATCTGTCTATCTATGTACTCCCTCGACCATAAAGCTGAAGAAGATGTACTTATTTATTTCCCGAGAGTTTTTCCCAAAGAAGTTCACTTTACACTTGAAATTTAATTTCATATTACTCGCTTCGCTTAGCTTCCTTCTATTCCATCCACAATCAGACATACTCGTACTCGTACTTGTGCCCTACTTGCTCTCTTACCCATTCTACACTACTCTCCTGCCCAGTAGTTTCCCCATTCAATTTTCCTTTTTGGCTTTTCCCTTTCTGTGATAACCCCACCTAGTTTTCAGGGGTCGTCGAAGCCGTGAACCAACATAAATTTGCAGCATTTTATGGCTGGATTTTATAAGCTGGCGACAAGCGCGTCCAATTGCTCAATCCCCGAGACACAATTTCCCACTCAATCTTCAGCTTCAATCGGAATCGGCTCTTCTGTGTTCCATTCCATTCCGTTCGTTTATTATTTATTATGATGATTTGATTGTTGTTTGCGTTTTGTGCGGGAGCATTTGATTAATAAACTATTTGTGTTTATTAGCCCGCGTCGCTGGCAAAACACTTTCCAACGAGGCTCCACAGTACACAGTACACAAGCCTCAATCCCCGATCCCCAATCCCCAATCCGCAATCGAAAATTGAAAGCTTCGTCGGCGAAAATGTTTATAAACGATACGAGTACTTAATTGTTAATTTGCTGTAATTGTTTATAAACGTTTTGACACACCACCAAATGACTCTTAATGATGTTAAATAAATAACTAAAGCAGAAAAAACAATAAGAAAATGGTACATAATCGCACTCGTACTCGTACTCGCAGATGGTACATATACAATAGAAATAAAAGCTAGCTTCGAGTTTAGAAATTGTGCTAATGATGCGATTGTCAAAGCCATTGCCATGCCATTGCCATTGACCCCGTATTTCGGGGTCGGGGTTGGTGCCGGTCCCATCTTAGTGGTTGGTTGGTTGGTTGGTTGCTTGGTCAGTGGAGTACTCACCATTACACTATTATTGTCGTAATCCTCGGATAGACTGCTCTTGCCGCTGGCACTGCTCGTGCCGATGCCCAAGTCGCTCAAGTCGTTCGCCTCATCCTCATTGTAGACGGCCAGGGAGGCGAGCTTCACACGACCCCGGGATCCACCACGTTCGGCCCTAAACACCGGAAGGATATTCACTTGGTTACTATACGAGTATATTTGATTCATGGCTCGGCTCCAACACTTTCAGCACTCGAAACGAAACTGAAACTGAATCTGACACTCGAGATTCCAACTGGGGTAACACTTGCCTCTCCTCCATCATTTCGGTGAATGTCTTCGATTTTCGTCGCGTCCGATCATGCTCCTCCAGCTCGAGTTTCTTCGTTTCCACCACTCGATCGATGATGTGCTCGACACGTTTTCGCCTTGACGATTTCCAATTGTCAAGGTTCTGTTCCGTTTGGTTCCATTCATTATTTTCATGTTGTTTGTTTTGCATTGTTGGGAAGAAGAAAAAGGTAGAAAACGGTAGCGAAAGTTAGTATAGAAAATAAATAAGGCAATGTCTGGGCTCGCGTTGTATTATTTTTTTTATTATTGGCTTTGTCGATGTTTCATGGCAGTTGGAAGTCGGGAAAGAGCAAAAGTTTCTTTTGATGGCAATTAAAAAGTTTTTGCCTCAGCTACGGCCCTACGTGACACAAAGGTAAAATGTGGCTACCAGACGCATGAACTTTGCTCATTCTCATGCTTCATCGTCATCGCCAGCTCGTTTATACTTTACTTTATTTTTGTACGATTATGGCAGAGATATGGGAGAGAATTTTGTGTAATCAGTTGAAAGCATTTCTCGGATCCGAGAGATGTGCGCATCTGTAAAAAGAATCTACACACGGAGCTATCTTCGGAGGGGAAATTCCAATACATTTATCAGCCCGAGTATTTCTCGTTCATGTTCTTCCATTTCCTCATTGGCATTCAACAGTTATTGGAACATCCGCTGAGCCAAATACTCGCACTGTACATACATATATAGATATATATCAATATATATATGTATATGAGAAATTCTATATTTAAATTTCGGCCTGGAACTTTCATTCGATTGAAAACTTTTCGCATGAGAAACAAAACAGCAACGAGCAGAGCAGCCAGAAAACACTTTACACAATCTTGAGAGACCATCAAAACGGCATTTGGACTTGACTTCCTTTCCCATCGCTGGCCAAGTCAGTCGTCCCCCCGTTGCCCAGTTGCCCAGTTCCAAAACGTTGTACGCATTTTAATACGATTTTTGATTTTGTTTTTATGTTGTTTTGGGACTTTACTCGTAAAACAAAAGTTATGTCTGGGAGTCGCGCAATCGATGGAACACCATCATCCATCCATCCATCGCATCCATGTGGGGGATTGGCAAAGCGACTGAAAATCCATTTCAAATGCAGCAACTGCATCGAAACAGCTGATTAGGTAATGAGCTGTCGTACAGTCACGTCAAATGGCGGCATTTTGTTGAGGTTATGAGGCAGACAGCAAACAAATTTGCATGTAAACCCAACATTGTGCAAAGAAAATAGAAGAGTGGGGGGAGTGGGGAGCGGAAAAAGCAGCCAAATGTAATAGTTGTGATTATGCAATGCCAATATCGTTATGTCCGCTAACGTTTTGGCGACGTGCACTGGAAACTGGAGCGGCCATAGCGAGCCATGTGCCCCATGGGCCTGGTGCCTGCCTGGTGTCTGCTGTTTCGGTGTTTGGTGCCATGCCCAAGACACTCATAGCTTGAGTTTACTTTTATCTCAAGAGTTTCCCCCTCGAACGATATGTACAATATATATACGAAACATTCCCTGCGATTTAGAAATTTGTCACGACTTTGTGCGAATGTGTCAACAGTTTGGACAGCGTTTCGCTCTTTCTCTCTGTGGGTATCTGGGTATCAGTGTGATATATGGGATAGATATACAGACGACTAAGACTACTCACATTCTGCCACTCCTCGGGTTCCTCTTTCTGCACCTCCTTCAACTTCTTGACCTCCTCGGCCTTTTTCAGCTGCTGCTGGGCCGTCTGATATAGATTGCACGGCTTGATCTGGACAAACTGCATCGGATTCTTCGATGGAGGCGGGGGCGTAGGCTTCGTTACGCGCGCCTTGGCCACATACGATGTGGGATCCGGCGATGTAATGGACTGCAATTAAACAATAACAATAATAAAGTTTTATTTTCTAATTAGCATAAATTGAAAATAACGAGAGGGAGAGACAGAGACGGAGGGCGGGGGCACCAGAGGCCAGATAAAGATCTAGAGTCAAATGCAAATGTCAGCAGCTCTCAGATGTCCAGGGTGTGTGGAGTCATTGCTGGAACTGGCACTGGGACTGCCACTGGCAGTCTGTGTGGGCAGCTCTACTCGTTCCTACATATGTCTGTATTTTTTCGCTTTTAAATCCTATTAAGTATTTTGCTTATTAAGCCGCTGCTGCCTTGAACCGCCTTTAATTGCATGAAATATTCAACCGGGACTTATATGGAAATGCTGATTGGCTAAAGACTCGCAAATAGGTAAACGGAAACCTTGGATATCGCTTAAGAGTCCTTCTCCTAAAGTGGTGTGCCGATTTTAAGGGAATTACTTAACATTTTCGAAAGTGCTTGTAGATTCTGTGACTCATTTTTCTTGGTGATTAATTCAGTTGGCAAAAATACACATTCATTTGTATATGTATGCGCCGAAGGGTTCGATAAGTAAAGGTGTTTTTGGCTGGCTAATTTCTTTTCTGAAAGTCTGGAATCCATGACACATATTTCTGGATGATAAAAACAAAATTTGCCAGCCGATCTTCAAGAAAGTTCTAATAGATTTTGACATTTGGGAGGAGTAAAACAATAACAAGAATCAATAAATACCTTATTGGTCGAGCATAATTGTTATTGCAATTCTCTGGCATTCTCTTTTGCAGCACTCGCTTTTGCGTGTCGAGCACGCCATGTGGGAGCATTGAGAGCTGCTTTAAATAATATTTCTGTTTAAGAGAATCAATTTTTGCGATATTTATAAGAACATTTCATCCACTTTTTCGCTTTTCTCTGTTCCTCAGTATTTTAGGTTCTTATTCCACATATTGCTGCCGCTCTCTTCGGATTGGCTTTTGCTTTCAACTGTTGACAACACCTAAGCGATTTCCCGAGCGCATTTCAAGTGCTTTGACCCACCCAGCCACCCAATCACCCAAACAGACCATACCAGACCACTCCACTCCACACATTTATAGGCAATAACTTTGTGTGGCAAAAGTCAAGCGTCGTCGGAACACTTCCGTCAACGAGAAGCAGGGCAGACCTCAGACCTCAGAGCTCAGACTTAGAACCAGAACGAGGCCCCACCTCAGACGATGGATTCCACACTTGACTGCGAAAAAAGAAAAGCGAAGGCAGAGGAATGGAGTGGAAAATGTGGCTCATGCACGGGGTTCTATGGTGAGGCAGTCAAGTGATTTTGTTGGGAGTTCTGTTCTGTGTATTTGAAACCACTGAAACTTGCAATACTCCTGCTGAAATCTATTAATATAACCCCCAGTCACAGTACACAATCGTAGGGTTTAGTTGATGGTAAACTCACCGATTTCCTGCCACCACAACCATTTGTGTCGCTGCCATTCGTGGAGGTTGCCGATGTGGACATCAGATCCTCGCTGCCTTCCAGCATCATCGCATCCTGTTCGATGCCCTCCATTTTCTACTAAATGTTATGTGGAGCCTGTCTTCTCTGCTGTCGCTTCTTGGGCGAATTTTAGCTTTCCGCTTGGTACTCCGATTCCGGCGTATTGGTACTCCAGCAATGCTATGGTCTGTGGGTCTGTGTCTGTGTCTGAGAGGAGAGTAAGAGATGAGCGCTGCTCACATGGCCGCAGCGCAGCGGCGGACTCCTACGCGGGGTTTGGGCCTTTGGTCAATGCCTCAACATGACAGTGGAGCATCAATATCAATATCGATTTCAGTTTCAGAGGTGTCAAGTGTTGCGCCACCGCCCACGCGCCTCAGGCCTCAGGCCTGTGGGCCCTCAAATGCGGAGGTGTCCAATTTCATTAGCTGCAAGATAAAATGTACAAACTTATTGAATACTGACCACTGAATATGAAATGCAGCAAATGGTTAATAGAGTGTGTCTGGAATGCGTGCTGGAATAATTTAAAAGCCATTAACCCAAAGTGGACCCGAGACCCAGGCCAGGCCGGGCAGGGCAGGGCAGGGCAGGTGTCATCGGTTCGGTTAGCGTAACTTGCGAGTAAGTACTAGTGGCTTCTTCGCATAAGATGCTGAGCTACTTTCTGGCATCGCAGATCCGTGAGGGATCTATAAAAACTCTCAAGCATTTCCTCAACTGAACAATGCTCGAAAAAGCACATTGCGTACTTCAATTAACATTCATCAAAGTGCATCCATAAGATGCTTTATCTAATTGTGCAACTCTGTTTGTCTCTGTATGTCTGTCTGCCAGAGTGGATGGGATGGATGGATGGATGGATGGGATGGATGCCGCCACTTGCCACGACTCCACGCAAGGGGACCCACACGCTGGTATGCGGGTCAATCTTATAAACTTCTGCCACAGTCATCTCATCATCATCATCGTCGTCATCGTCATCATCAGGCAACATGCAACATCCCCCATCCCCCATCCACCATCCACAGAGTCATCCTCCGCATCGTACGTCATCCATTTGTTTGTTTGTTTCTTCTTTTCTGTCCGCCAGTCAGCCAAGCCATGTGACCCGGTATTTTTCAGATCGTTTTGCTACGCTTTTCATTCCCTCCTACTAATTAATAACTATTAAGTATTCTCTTTTCCCCTTCGGGTTGGGTCTTGGCTCTTGGGCTTTCCTGTAATCGAGCTTGTTTATTAATTTTTTATGAATGCATCTCACATCCCAAAGATCTTTAGAAAGTCGGGTTCGAAAGGGTTACACTCGGTTATACTTATACTCGTGTGTGGAAAGAAGCGGGTGTTTGCCAAGGGGTTGGCGGTTTTATCTGTCATGATTATGCGGCTAATATGACAGCTGATAAGTATTAGGCATGCCCACGGCTTCCTGTGTTATGGAAACGGAGCCAAAACGAAACGGTACATCATCTGTGGATGTCTACGGAGATCGCATCCCCCACCATTACCATTAGCTCGAATTTGTTCATAATGTTTCTGCAATCAATTTAAATTATCAACGGTTTGTCAGAAGGAATTCTCCGATCTGTGATTTGCCTGCGATTGCTTCAATGATCATCAACATCATCAACAGCAACTATTCTGCATGAGTGTATCTTCTTCGGATTGTGGCATCTCATGTCAAATTTGATCAACACATGTGCCAGCGTTTTTCAACACTTCAGGCATTCAAGTGGAGAAGACAGGCAGACGCAAGTGGAGATGGAGGAGACGCGACAAGACACTCCAAAGATCAGGAGGCACGAGGCTAATCAACATGAGCATTCGCATTCGCAATCGCAATCGCATTCGTTGTTGAATGCTAATTTGCATATAAAATGCAACAACCAACAACAGCCAACAGCAACAGCAACAACAGTAGATCTACACGAGTAACAGATAACTGCAACTAAAAGCCAAACAGCAATTAAAGCAAAACTTTCAAATTGTAATAATTAAGCACGGGTCTGTTGTGGCCTCTATGTATGCATGCTTAGGTATAGTCTACAATATATAGTGTCTCTGTTTGTGTGGAGGTTTCAGTTGTAGAGCGGCCCAAGTCGCCTAACGCCTAACGACAGCTCGACAACAACTTAACCACATCTCCGTGGATAGCTATAATGACTCGTGCGCAAATTGCAATAATTTAAATTTAACAGAAAACTAAACTTAGGTTTAACTTTTACATAAGAGACTCTTGGCAACTTTCTCGGCAACCAAAGACCAGTGCCGAGACGGCGGCGGGGCTTTTGCTTACTTAGAGCGGAGCCCCGACGCATTAGCCATAATTATTAAGCGAACAAAATGATAATTAGATAAAAATGGCCACTACAATACAAGAAAAAGATCAACGTCAAAGTTTAGCCCCTCAACGGCGGCGCCAATACAGAGAGAGGCACAGATCAAGTCTCGAATCCAAGACGGTAACATAACACAGAGCAGAGCCAAGAGCACCGCGAATGGTACATATACTCGCAGTATTCCGCTAACCCTAGCCTATCCACATCCACTGGCCACTAGCCACTTACAAATTGTATCAAGATGTTTTTGGAATGGATCGAGGCGCTGAATTAATTGATAAAATGGCGACGATCATGGCTATGACGATGTCTATGACGCTGCTAATGCCCAGACCAAAGACAGAAAGAGAATTCTTTCAGAAACGAGTGGTGTGGTGCGGCGCGTAAATGCCACGCAATTGTCTTTGTTCTTCTTGTCTTTGAGTCTGTCTTTTAGCTAATTAGCGGCAACAGCAGTTAGAGCTTCAAAGCGGCAGATATCTGACGCTGGCGGCAGCATTGCCAACATCAAAGACCAAAGAACAGACCAAGGCAGAGTTGCATTTGGATGGTAAACAAGGGCAAAGCCTTGATTCGATTTGGGGACATGTATATATAGCGAGGAATCACTTTATTACGCTACAATTATGATGTAGAAGCTAAGAATATCACTCTTGGTGTATGCCAATCCAATCTTTCTCAACGGCCTCTTCTCAATCCAATTGAATGGTCAGAACTGCCCATATCTCCCAAATGAAGCTTCTATCCAAAGATCTCTATCCTAAATTACCATAATCCCGAGGCACTCTATCATAACTATAAGCTTCCTTCGCTCCTCCGCTACTTCGCTACTCAGTTCATTGTTTGACAACGCCTAATGCGAAAACAAACAAAACTCTGTTGTTGTTCAGGGGAGACAACGATCATTGTCTGCCGACGAAGACGACGACGAACAAACAATAACCGAAGCGTTCTGTTAGAGCAAAATGTCTAATTAAATATTTATCAGGGATTTCGATCGAGAGAGGGGCCACGGCAATGCACTGCAAAGGCATGCCAGGCCAGGCCCCGTATTAACTTATCAGGCAAGTGAAATCTAGGCAGAGCCGAGATTATAATGCAACTATAGATGGAGCACTACTATATGTTCCAGAACAATGGGTCGGGTCTGTTTTTAGTGTTTTTAGTGGGGAAACTACTACGCACATCAGATACTTACCCCGAACCGAAAGAGGAAGAAGAAGTAAAACAAATAATAATAACTGTAGTCGCCGCTTAGATAAGAGAGGAGTGCACGTTAATGATCTATCTCCATCTCTCTCTCTTTCTCTTCCTCTGCGAACCACATTAAAATGGAGCTGGCGACACTTTCCGATTCGGTAACGAAAAAAGCAAAAGTGGAGCACCAGCCAAAAGTCGGAGACCGATGTGGATGTGGATGTGGATGTGTTGACCAGGTGAAAAGTGGCATTGTAATAAATGTTTAACGTGACTTTAAATTAAAATTGTATTACCCGAAGCTGAACACGAACACGAGCACGAACTCGTCCACAGCGTTTGCGCTCGTAGTTGAAAAGTGTGAAAAAGAAAAATCACAAAGTAGGATGGAGGTGGGAGGCACATCATCACTGACTGGTTGGGTCTGCGGGAGATGGAATGGGATGGGTGTCAAGCTCCGTTAGTTGCCGGCCAGTGACACTAATGACATTCAAATTGTTGCGCTAAAAGAAGCCATAAAAAGCGAGCGAGAAAAGCAGCGAGAAAACAAATCAAAGCGTAGTCCGTGTGACACCGAGAAAGTGCGCCCGACCAGGCCTCGGTCCAAGCCCCGATCCGTATCCGAATCCGAATCCGAGTTGGAGGCGTGCAATTGAAAGTGTCGCCATTTGTTTTGTGGTCGCCGATGTGCAGCCATCACTCACTCACTCAAACTGAATCCCCATATCCATACCCATACCCATGCCCATCCCCTCTCTATTTTCATTCCAGTTCATGTCGTGGGTTGTGGGTTGTCTCATAAATAAATGCGCTTCAATTGTAATATGTATCCAGCAGATACGAATATCAGAGATACATCAGATGACAGGCCATGCCATGGCATGCCCATAGAGCATTCCATGCCACCAAGCATTTCATTTGACGTTTTCACTTGTCCAGTGTTGTGCAATGACAATCGAATGGGCTGACAATCAATGGTATTTGAAGTATATGTAGAGAAGAAATGTACGCCAATGTATTCCGATTGTTCCAAGAGATGCACGATCTCTTTTTTATCTACTAATGAACTTTTTCATGAAGATAAACTAATGAATCGCAACTTCCCATGATGAATCGGATTAAATAATGCCTTGCACAATCGATGTCTTGATAAGTTCAATTTTATACCAAATAACAGATAAATAGTTCCGATAACTTGATAACTTCCCATGATTTTCCTATTGCTCCTAATTGTTCAATAGTCTGACAATATCCTTCTTCCACATTCAATGTCCATATAAATACATATATTTAAATTAAATGTACCTCAACAAAATGAAGATCAAGCATTTCCATCGGCAACAAGTTGAATATTCAAAAAACATTGCAATGAGCAAACAAATCCCCCATGAACCTGCTTTCAAGTGCATTTTGTGTGCAAATCGAAAACTATTTTTGGATCCAGCATTGAACATGGAAATCACCACAGAAAAAGGGGGGAAAACTGAGAAATATTTCGATGGATTCCATGATAAAATGCATATTGAAAATGCACATTGGAAATCTATTTTTAGTCTTTTGTTGTGTGTTTTCTTGTGTGCATGCGGTGTGTGTGTGTGTGTGTGTGTGTGTAGGGGTTTTGGCCAGCTCATTTCTTTGATTGCATTAATTGAAATATTTCTCAAGCGTGGCCAAGAAAAACAGCCAAATGGAAAGTGAAGTGTGAAGTGAAGGCTCGACTTGGGTCTTGGTCTCCATCTCCGTTTCGGTTTTGGGTTTTTGGTATTTGGTCTTTGTCTTTCATTGTTGCCTTTCCAATCACAACAGCAGCAGCAACAGCAGCAATAGCTACAATCTTTGTATTTTAGTGGTATAGTCGTATCATTGTACAATATCTGGGCAATTATCACGGTGCCGCAGTGCGAACTATTCGACAATTCGACACGCAAAATTGTCAGTTCATTAACATTTCAATATCGATAAGACCCGCAATGCACTTTCGCTCCTCAGAGCAGAGCAACCAAAAGATACAAATCAATGCCAATCGAAATTGTATATCAGAGTATCAGTGACTGTATCTGTATCTGAATCAACACTCTCGAGTACGATCTCCATCTGGGCATCTGTGCGGAGGTACAGCCTCCGACAATGTCAGTTTGTGTTAATAATAGTTATTGACTTATCATGGCACATTCTTCTGGCAGCCGAAACCGGGTGCCAATTTGTAACTGTTTGCTTGTGACATGCATGCCTCCATCGCTATCTGCAGCTCTATTGAAAGCTCTTTGTGGCTACTGCCATCTCCATGTATAACTCTGTCTCTGTCTCTATCTCTATCGGCGCGCCTCGGGGCAACAAATTTTGCACAAATCAGCAGGAAAATTGCGAAAAATCAAGCAAATGAAAGGAAAAGCAGCCAAGCCACAGTCCCGAGCCAGAGCAAACAATATACTGCAGCATTTGCATTCTAAGATACAGCGCTCTGGCGGCAATTCGATTTCAATTTCAGAGTACTTGTATCTGTCTGTATCTTGTATCTGTCCATGTATCGGTTAGTTACGCTTTCAGATACATTACATGTTGGGGCCAACTGCTGTGTTGAGCTGCCTGCAATTCCAAGCAAATTGTTTTGCCTTCAGAGCTCCAACGGAAACTGATCTCTGAACTCGAATCGCCTCTCGCTTCATTAGCTCTCAAACGCCCCCCAGACCCCCGACACCACCAGACCCGAGCCAATGTCAGACAGCCAAATTTCTTCATTAATAATACCGTCTATACTATACGGACCATACAGACTATTCGGACTGGGAGGCTATTTAATCAATCCCTCGACCTGGCACACGCTCACTTTTCGGCCTGACCCATTTCGCGTGCCAGAGCGAAAGATTATTTTATTTGCATTCAAAATGAGTTACATGTTAAAAATTTTAATTTGTACACACCCACCAAGAGTCAGAACTCCAGAGCCGTAGAGCCAAAGAACACGCCCCAAAGACCAGCCCCAAAAAATTACGGAAAAGATTGCCAAGAATATTCTGTGTGGCTGAAATTAATATTTCATACATGGACAACGTTTTGGGGTTTCTCATGAAGAGTATAAATCGAGTTTGTTTCAGGGCGTGACTGAATGTTTTATTCAAGTAAAACAAAGTGAAGTTACCAGACATTGATCTTTTTTGAATGGAATATTCTGCCAAAGGAGAACCACATTTAATAGTCGTACGCGTATATGTTTATACACATCATCGTATTCTCACAGAGTGCTTATTCGCTTATTCGATCTGTTAACTCGATCTGGCGTATAACTAATGTACCAATTATACATATGTTTTATCATTCATTCTGATAAAACTTCTGACAATTGAGAATAATATTTAAATTTCTGGAATTCCATTTGGGAGTGATTTTATTTATAAATACTCTGCATGGATTAATCAATTTTCCATTAGATATATTCTGTCGAGAGTATTCACAGCCATTCACAGAACATGTTTCGTATTCGTAACCTTAACTTTGATCTCTTTGTATCGAGGCAGAAGCACAACAAATTGAAGCATGCGTAGGCTCATTTTTTGTACCAGTGTTTTTGATGTTTTGAGGCTAATGTCGTCGTTTGTATGGGCCATGGTTTGTAGAATCCCACCTCAACGGGTGGGTGTCCGGTTGCCAGAAGAGGAGGCAGCAGCGGACACAGTAGAATCGCCATTGACTGACTGGATAAAGGCCCAACCCAAACAAACCAGAGACTAAACAAAACGAGGCAGCTCTCCCAATTATTACCCAGGTTCCACATGTGTGCCGCAGATGCAACAGGAACTAAATAAAACTTTGGTTTTAGTGCGCCTCGCTGGCCACAGAACAGAATCAAACCCCCCACCGATCCGTTTATTGTTTGGGGTAATCATTTTCAATGCTGGAGACCCGAGCCCATGGCTTCGTTAATTGTTGATCGTCATTCTGATGAATCGGTTGGGTTCTGATTCTAATATTAGCTTGGAAAATGCCAGAACATGTGAATGTGCTACGTATTCGAATGGTTTTCAAGTCAGCACAGACTGAAGATCGTCTGCCGATGATATACACATATACATATGGAAGTACCTAATGGAAATGGTCGAAATGGCATTGTCATAAATTTAGGATCAATTGAAAAAATTCTAGTAGAATATCAAATATATAAATATTATATTATGTTATTATTAGAAATTATAAATTATTAAGGTTTCGACTTGAATTCCCATCCATAGTTACTTTTTCTTTGCTCGCACTCAGAAACGCCAAGGCCCCTGGTTCAACGTCCTCTCGATCCTCTCTAAGAGAGTCTCTCAGCACTCAGCGCAAGGTACAGTACAGTAGTGGAATAAGACAAAAGACAAGAATAACGGCCAGAAAAGCCAAAGAGACAAGGCACATAAAAATGGAGTATACGCAGTCAGCAGAGGATCATAGCCAGAGTACAATCTCGTAGTCAGTTCGAAACGTACAGCATAAAACGTATAACAATTACAATCTATCCATCGATGCCTACAAAAATAATGACTTATTTTCCGAACAATTTTAATGTTATATTGATTCGTTTGAGTGAGCATTCAAACTTAATCTGAAATAGCTATAAAGTAGTACAAAGTTACACCGGAAAAAAATATTAAAGCAACACCATGCGAATTTGTTTAATATTCAACTACTGCTAGCCTGTAATTTTTCCATCGATCATACATCTATAGTAAGTGCTGCAATGTATAATGTATAATCTACATTATAGATGTGTAATGACATTGTAGATGTAAACGTAGATAACAGATGTAGCAAAAAAAATGTAAAATGTAAATTTTTTTTTAATTCTACATAAATTATAAGCTCACAAATTTATATACTGACTAAGTACGGGTATAGAAGTAGAGTCGCGTCCACAGAAGCGACTTACACGTTGCTCCTCGTTTTTTTTTTTTAACAGTTCGAATTATTGATTACAGAGTATTAGAAAATGCATATCCCGGGGTGGAGTTTTTAATGGCTTTTATCGAGGATGGGCTACTACGCCCCTATTCCAATTATTTCCTTTAATTAAGATACTATCGATGTTCTCCGGAAATTATTTAAGCAAAGTGAAATATGATCATAAACATTTTATTGAATCTTTCATGCGGCAAAATGTAAATTTTGTATATCTGGTACTGAAAGAGTTTTGGGGTATATTAGATTCGTGTACATGTGTTTAACAGCCGATAAAGTAGGTATATATGTATGTAGGTATGTTCTTGATAAGCATGAATAGGAAGCTGTCTTAACTTAGTTTTTTGAATGATCTTTTTTTGTAAATAGTCAAATGATTCGTCTAAATCAATCGGATCGGGCGACTATATCATAAATATATTGTATGTATGTACGCATGATCGGTATGGAAAACATTTTTCTTTCTTCTTTTACATAGCTTCAAAAGATTTGCTTTAAATCGGATCACTTTTTCGTATTGATACCAGTGAGACTAGGAAGCCCACCGAGAACATATATTTCTCTCTCTTGAACTTCATATTTTTCCAATAAGCCTTTTTATTGCTGGTCTGACTAACCTATAAGATAGTCAAAGTGGAATACAGCCACGAGCATTTAGAAGGCCAAACTTAAATTTTCAAAACATAACGATATACATATGTGTACCATTGTGAACCGTTTCCATTAAAGTCATCCGGGTAAAGTCAAACGGATACACAGAGAGATATACCCTTCGCTACCCTCTGAAAGGTTATAAAAATTGACTTTATTTTGAACAATCAAAGCTACTCGAGCGGAATATACTCTGGCTAAGAAAAATGAAGTCATTGCGGTTCAATTCGCATTCTTTTGTCAGTCGATAAGGAGCAATGCAGCTAAAGCTAGTATTCTGTGTTCTATTCGTATCACTTCTAACTTCAGTATTCGATTTAAATGTAAATATAGCCTAAAACTTTCTGTGCACTAATTCCGAAATTTATTAGAGTTTACAGGATGCGGTCGTTTTTAAGTTTACTAACGCCGTCTGTGAGAGCTACAACAAATCCTGGATCGTGTTCCACAACTATCGTCTTAAAGCCGTTGGCCGGGACAAGGTGCTCCTTAACTTGAATGCCACTTTGCTACATCCGGCCCAAGGTGTAACAATACGTGGAAGGATTTTGAAAAGGGCAAACGGCTATAAGCCTTGGCTCTTTGACATGACCTTTGATGCATGTAGATTCATGCGACAGCAAAACATCCCAGTTGTTTCACTAATCTACGGGCTCTTCAAACAGTTTACCAATATTAATCATACATGTCCTTATGTGGTAGGATATACAAAATGTTTGAAAATCAACTAAATCTAAAATTTCGATTACAGGGTCCAGCGATTATCAAGGATTGGTATCTGAATCCCGAACTGTTGCGTCTTCCCTTACCAACGGGGGAATACATGCTAGCCTTAAGGTGGTTCTTTGAGAAACAGCTCGTATCTGATACGAATATAAGTTTCGTGTTCGTGGAAGATCTCCTGAAGAGCTAATACTTGGAAGTACCTACAGCAGATCCCTGAAGATCCAAAGATACATACCATAGAACACAAGACAATTAAAATTACAATCAATTATTGTGCTGATATGATAGTCTCCATTGTTCGACTTGTCGATTATAGAATATTAAGAAATGCACATCCCGGGGTGGAGTGTTTAATGGCTTAAGTCAAGGTAAATTTTATTTATTACGCCCCGATACCAATTATTTCCTATAATTGACATACTATCGATGTTCTCCGGAAATGATTTAAGCAAAGTGGAATATGATCATCAACATTTAATTGACTCAATTAAATTTCATGCAGAAATTTAAACAAAACGTGTAACTCTCAAATGTTATTTGCGACCAAGAGCTAAAACGGTGCCTTCTCATGTGTTGCTCAGTAGTCTCCTCGGACTATTTTTGATATTGAACATCAATTTTAACGTAAATTATATTATATTATATATACATATATATAAATTATATTCCACAATATTCTAGTCTGAAAATTTAAATATTTTATTTTGTTTGTTAGAGCTTTAAAAAATTCCTTGGTAGGGTTCCACAACTGATTAATGGCAAAGATATCCATTCCACTTGCTTCAGTAGGCTACAGGCTATTTGATTAACATTAATCATACATGTCCCTATATAGTGACATTTGAAAAAACCGTTTAAATTAACATATAAAATCCCATTGCAGGGTTCACAGGTTATAAAGGATTTTTATTTAAAAAAACCCGACTTGTTGCGTCTTCCCCTTCCGACGGGGTATTACATGCTGTCGCTACGGTGGTTCCTTGAAAAACAGCTCGCAGCTGATACAAAGGTGAGTTTCAAGATCGTAGAGGATCTCCTGAAGAGCAACTAAGGAAAACCGTTTGTCTATTCTATACGAATAAATGAAGAACATTGGGGCTTATCAGGCTGTCATTTATACTCGTATTCATTTACAATGTCACGGTTCAATGGCAAACTTTAAACCAAAACTTAAATCCGTTTCGAGGCCCGGCCCGACCCAAGAAGACAAATTACGGCCATGTCTATTTCGTATTCTTCTCCCTTTGAAAAATGTTTACAAAACGCAATTTGAGTGCAGAAAATAATAATAATAATAATAACAATTTCGTAGTCAGTTCATGCAGAGTCCTCGTTGAACACCTGGCTTTTGAATATAATTAATGCTAGCGTGCTGCATTTGAGCTCATACTTTTAGGATATATAGAAACTGAGTACCATTAGGCATTATTTACATTAGCTTAATGTATCCGAAAACTTAATATATCCAGAGTTATCCAAAATAGTTAGATCGGTTTTAATTACCTCTCATTTTTGCTTCTGATACCGAGGCATTATATACCCTTGTAAAGCATTTCCATGAAAGCGTATCATTTATATTTTGGGATCCGATCACTAGTATGGACAGATAAATGAACACACAGACAAATGGACATGTCTATACCCTCTGAAATTGATATTCATATAAATTGAATTTTAATTGAATGAACAAAGCTGTTCGTGCGGAATGAATTCTGGCTAAGAATATTAAATCGCTGGGATTCAGTACGCATTCGTTTGTCGTTCGATTAGGAACAATGCAGTCCAAAGTAATATTCTGTGTTCTATTTGGAATATTTCTAACGTCTACATTCGATTTTAATGTAAATATACCCTAAAACATCCTGTGATACAGGTTCTGCACTAATAAGAGTTCGCAGGATGCGGTCGTTTTCAAGTTTACAAACTTCGTCTGCGAGAGCTACAACAAATCCTGGATCGTCTTCCACAACTTTCGTCTGAAGGCCGTTGGTCGGGACAAGGTGCTCCTTAACTTGAATGCCACTTTAATACATCCCGCCCAAGGTGTAACAATACGTGGAAGGATTTTGAAAAGGGCAAACGGCTATAAGCCTTGGCTCTTTGACATGACCTTTGATGCATGTAGATTCATGCGACAGCAAAACATCCCAGTTGTTTCACTAATCTACGGGCTCTTCAAACAGTTTACCAATATTAATCATACATGTCCTTATGTGGTAGGATATACAAAATGTTTGAAAATCAACTAAATCTAAAATTTCGATTACAGGGTCCAGCGATTATCAAGGATTGGTATCTGAATCCCGAACTGTTGCGTCTTCCCTTACCAACGGGGGAATACATGCTAGCCTTACGGTGGTTCTTTGAAAAACAGCTCGTATCTGATACGAATATAAGTTTCGTGTTCGTGGAAGATCTCCTGAAGAGCTAATACTTGGAAGTACCTACAGCAGATCCCTGAAGATCCAAAGATACATACCATAGAACACAAGACAATTAAAACTGCAATCAATTATTGTACAGATATGATAATCCCATTGTTCGACTTATCGATTACACTACTCGACAAAATTGAACTTTATTTCCCGTTGTAGACCAAAATGACTTTTTCTGATACATTTCGGGATATACAAATTTTTAAAGTACTATGTTTTTATACCCGTACTCAAAAAAGAGTTAAGGGGTATATTGTATTTGTGTGAAAAGTGTGCAACGCAGAGAAGAAAACGTTTCCGACCCCATAAAGTATATATATTCTTGATCAGCATCAATAGCCAAGTCGATATAGCCATGTCCGTCTGTCCGTCTCTATGAGCGCCTAGATCTCAGAGACTAGAAGACTCATGTGATATCCCACTGCTACAAGTGTATTTCAAAATTTCGCCCCGCCCCCTTCCGTCCCACAAAGGACGAAAATCTGTGCCAGGCACAATTGTAAAGATACGATAAAACTAAAAACGCAATATCGTAAAGAATGACCATATCTACCAGATTGTAATTATAGCCAGAATGAAGAATTATTTTCAGTTAATTCCCCCGCCTCCTTTAGCAAGATACACGCTACTCATTCTCTTTCTCGCTCGCAGACTCTGCCTCGTTCAGTGCGCGAGTGCCCGCGAGCGGAGAAGATGTGGAATCTAAATGGTACATCTACATGTTAGATGTAGAATATACATTGTAGGTGTAGATCTAGATAACAGATTTAGCAAAAAAAAATGTAACATGTAAAAATGTCGTAAACTTCTACATATGTAAATCATAAGCTCTAAAATGTATATACTGACTGAGTACGGGTATAAAAGTCGAGTCGCGTCCCCAGAAGCGACTCACACGTTCCTTCTCGTTTTTTGTTTGTTTTAGGGTTATTGTAAACAATTATCACAGACAATAAAGTACAATTAGTTAATTACTTTGTGTGGAAAAAGCTGATGAATTTGAAAATGTTTTATCTACGAATGAAAAAACAGCATGGAATTCACTCCGACTGGTTACAACAAATTTGCTTGGTAACAGCAAGAGTGATGATTACGTTAATATCTTTTAAGACCTAATTAAGAACTATGAAAAAATTGGAGCCAACATGTCACTAAAAATCCATTTCCTGCACTCCCACTTAGACTTTTTTCCGACAAACCTAGGAACGTTAGTGATGAGCACGGAGAGAAATTTCACCAACAATTTAAAGGTATGGAGCGACGGTATTAAGATGTTTGGAATGAGAATATTTTGGGCGACTATGTGTCGACTCTCATAAGGTAATCTGATTCTAATGACAAAGGAAGACAGCCAATTTACCATTTTAGAAATAGTAAAAGCAGGAACAAACCCAACTAATCATAAAAATAAAAAATTCTTTATTTTATTAAAACTTACTGAAAACGAGAAGGAACGTGTGAGTCGCTTCTAAAGACGCGACTCTACTTATACCCGTACTCAGTCAGTATTTACATTTTTGAGCATATGATTTTCAGAATTTAGAATTAAAAAAAAAAATTTTACATATTACATTTTTTTGCTACATCTGTTATCTACATCTACATCTACAATGTATATTTTACATCTAACATGTAGATTATAGATGTACTATTCATATTCTACATCTTTTCCGCTAGGGGTTGCTCGCGCACTGAACGCGGCAGAGTGTGCGAGCGAGAAGGAAAATGAGTTTCGTTGTCGTTTGTGGGAGGGGGGGCAGGGGAAGCAACTGAAAATTAATTTCGTCATTCTGGCTATAATTATGATCCGATCTAATTCAGATTAGATCCGGGGCCCAGAGTGCGATCCTCCAAATCAGCAAGGAGGCAGAGGATCTGCTGTACCCCAGATTCGGGAAGATGGCGTGGGGCATGGGTAGCGTATACCTCCGCCTCAAAAAGCGCCACCCCGAAGACAAGGACACGCACACCCTGCAGGCAGGCGAGGTGGAGAAGGACCTCGGTCTGGAGTCCATCGTGGAGGCCGCTCAGGGTATGGCGCTGGACGACTCCGAGGAGGAGGAGGACGGAGACCTGACAGTAATAGTCAACCCGTCGAGTGTAGTTGAGCCAGCCTCCCATGTCAGTGAGGGTGCTGCAGCTCAACCTCCATAAAAGTAAACTCGCGTCGACGGAGCTCCTCATCGCCATGGAGCAAGGGCCCGTCGACATAGCTCTGGTCCAGGAGCCATGGCTTGCCTCTGGCAACGCTGTGGCCGGACTAAAGTCCTCTAACTACAACCTTTTCCACTCACCATCGGTAAGCAGGACTAGAACCGCCGTACTCGTACGGAAGGGCATCCATGCTTACCTTTTGTCTCATTACAGCACTGATGACCTGACTGCTGTGATGCTAGAAAGCGAGGAAAAGCACCTTATGGTAGCTTCCTGCTATATGGCACACGACAGGCCAGCTCCACCGGAAGAGCTAAGGAGTCTGGTGGCAGATGCCAGCCCGAAAGACCAGCAACTTCTGGTTGGTACGGACGCCAATGCCCACCACAGCGTGTGGGGAAGCCCCGACATCAACGACAGAGGTGAGTCACTTTTAGACTTCATACTATCAACTAACCTAGATGTAGCAAACGTAGGGGAGGAACACACCTTCGTAGGTCCCACCTCGTCCAACGTACTAGATCTAACACTCGTAACGGGAAAGAGTACTTTGGTATCTGGCTGGAGAGTCCTTGAAAGACCGTCCTTCTCAGACCAC